CCAGACACCCGACTAGGACAATACCGTTGCTGCACTATGATTTCAGATTGACATGCTGTATTTTGCGATGGCAACATGTTCACGGGCGAAGCATGCATGCATACACAACATCCCGAGTGACGGGTTCGTTTAATATTACTAGATAAACAGGTATCCAATTTGCTTAGTAAGACATCGGCCAAGTGATTGGTAGGGCGAGCTTCCAACCTGCAGTCGCGTTTCAGCTGGTGGTTCCTTGAAATAATGAAAACAAGCCGTAGTTTTTACTGGCAACAATCCCCGATTCAAGCTCAATAACAGCTGGCCTGAAAGTTTCAATGTGTTGATGATATAGTGGAGATATTTTAAGCAGTTTTTTCATTAGTCTTTGAGTGAAACGTATTTTTTTTATTTGGTGCAGCTCCTAATTTACATAGTGAGCCCCTGTTACAAAAGGGAAGCAATAAATAAATAAAGAAAAATGCGCAGTTTGAAATGAAACAATTTTGAACGCAATAAAATCACGCGAAAAACTCCAGGCTCCAGCAAGAAATTGTTAGCTATTGGGTTAGAACATGATTATATATGCTTTATATCAAAGAAATTAACATGTGAAGGCCATTTCATAATGGATATACTCAACATTTCGTTTTCATCCAATACAATATTTTCCTTTGAAAAATCACGACCCGCACACCCGTACGATGTTCGCGCCTTCGGCGCTCGTTGGTCCCTCAGAGAGTAAAAAGAATCCCCTCTCAAGGAAAATGATACCTAATATTATTTAATAGTTTTGGGATTCATTTTAGGCGTCTTTGTATGTTTATTATGTATATAGCGAACCGAAGTGCCACTGTCATACCAACCAAGGGTTCATTACAATGGCCTCAATTGAAATCTCAATGGAAAGGAGGCTTTGCATCTGATAGCCTTTTGCAATATACAGTGCTGACTGCACTGAACGGCAATTGTCATGTCTGACATAACTATTAATATATATATACAAATCCGTGCAATTAAGAATTCTTGGCGATCGAGAATCGGTAGACAGATTTTAATATTTTGTGTGTAGCTTTTTGGTATACTGTATATTGCAAGAACTAATAAAAGTAGCATCTAGCGAGTTGTCAATAAATGGGAACGTGTACAACATATTATTTAATGTTATTTTATATACATATATATACGTTCACACTTAAGAAATAATCCTAAATCAAGACAAGAAAACTCTTGCATAATTATAATTGAGAACAGAATATTTTAATGTACAACAATAAATACGATTAAATAAAGTCTCATCATGCATGCGTTTACTTATTACTACAGATAGGTTTGCAGAAATTCTTCGTTAAATATGTTCAAATATTACTTGAACTTTGAGTCAACGGCGACCTGAAAAAAATTAATTTAATGTAAGTAATTTGGATTGACCAAAATATGTATGCATGTTTGTGTTGAGAAAAGAATGGGTGTAAGGCGAGATGAAAGTCGAACATCAGAATAATATGAATCATATACACCATGTGATTTGGTAAGTACATTTTGCTTCTATATGTCAATTTGTCTGATATGTGATACAGGGAGATAATTTACATATGTATGGTGTTATGAGAAAGGTATACATGGAAATTCACGTGTAGTATAAGATGGCCTACCTTTTAATTCACACAAAGGTACCGTTGAGCATCGTAACATGGAGTATCATCTAATTTCCATTCATTATTATGGAACCTAGGAATATAAATGGCGAAAAATTATCATCACTCTGTGGCCACTTTTACAGCTGTTCCATGCCGAAATAGCGATGAATGTAGTATATGTAAAAAGCATAACTTTGAGCGAGTTTAATAGGCATAGATGTCAGTAACACACAACACTGCAGATTGGTGGCATGGTGATGAATTCGAATGTAGGACAGAGTGGTTCAATGCGCTTGACTACAAGAAGGGATTGTGATTGCATTGCACATCGGTCAGTAATATCCTATTCAAGTCATGAACGCTGATTATTGACCTCCACTTTGGTAACTATTTGTTTAATTCAAGGATTTGGTAGTAAGTCGTTGGTTCTACACTGTCCATATTCACGCACATATGAGAGGCGGCGGCACGACATTTTGCATTAAAGGGCGAGATCTGGTCACCGACCTTGCGCCGAGGGCGAGACCTAACTAGGGGGTCCGCTGGCAAGAATTTTAAATCTAGACTCTAGACGCTATTCCCTGCATTTTAAGGAGCAAATTTTGCTGACACAGAGGTTTCAGCTTGATTTTGGAGAGGCACATTTATCGGAAATACATTATTATATTATTCGAACTCACCACAACTGGATGCAAGAACCACTACCATTGGGCTCATTAACATGAAACAAAGATGGATCAACTTCCATGAATGTGCCATCACTGAATATTATCGTACTGCCTAAAATGACGCCATCAACCCAGAAGTCAACATACTCTCCATTCGCACTAAGCGCACTCACTGCTAAATTCAAGCTAACGCCATCAGTAATTCTATATGGTGATGCACACTGGAATGGACGTGCTTGTTCCGAACTGATCAGAAGCGCAGCTGTAAATAATGGGGAGAAAATTGAACATCAAAATACTATCTCACCAAAAATGTATGTCAAAATAACCATACCGTGGCCTGTAATGCTACAAGTATTGTCTCATCAAATACTAACGCGACTATCTTTCTCGGAATGAAACAATCGTAACAATAATAAAAAACAAAACAAAAAACAAACAAACATTTAGTTTGTCCTAGAGTTTTTATACAACAACATTAGTGATTCCTATTTTCTTTTTATCCAGAATTCTTTTTTTTGGTGATAAACAACTATTTTCGACGTTTGAATTAAAACGGCTGTCTCAGAGTTGATATATTGAAATTCAACTTTCTAGAAGATGTTTTTACACGGTGCACACAGAGGATCAACATACGACAACATTCAATAAACAAATTTAGATTTACTTAACCCGAACACAGATACTTCTGAGGATCGTCACATGGCGTATCATCTAATTTCCATTCACCATAATGGTACCTAAGAATAATAGCAATAATAATAAAAATAATAAATTTATTTGATAAAATGTAATGATATTAAATATGCGCTACAGATTTACAACTTACATACATCAAGTATGTAGGGTGTATGAAATGTTCAAATCATGCCAAAATGTGGAAAACATTGTTGATGTACATGTATGACGAACAACACACTTGCAATTGGACTCACCACAATTGGATGCAAGCGCCACTCCTATTTGGCTCATTTCGATGAAACAACGACGAATCAACAACCATTCTTGTACCATCACTGAATATTATTGTACTGCCTGCAATAATTCCATCAACCCAGAAATCGACATACTCTCGGTTGACGAGAAGCTCATTCACTGCCAAATCCAAACTTGCTTGATTATACACTTTGTATGGCGAGGCACAGTGAATATTTTCCGGAATTAACTCTTCCGTGCTGATCACGATCCCAGCTGTAGAGAGAAAAAAAATAGATAAATACCATATAAAGCCATAGCCATACAGAATACTAGACTCTCTTAATGCCTTTACAAGTACTAATTTCACTGAAGTATATGTCTTTATATATAAACGTTTCGAAAATGAAATAATCACTACAACACTCCCTTAAAACTCTCAATCAATCGACTGTTATTTTCCTGAAATATTAGTTAGGTTATGTGAAATTGAATTCCAATACAAACAACATGAACGGTCGAAAAGAAAAATATTGTGTAGCTGTGAACGAATTTGAAAGAAATGGATTTACCACACTTGCCCATCTTTTTATCGATTAGCTTGTAGATATTTATTCCTGTGTTGGATTTGAAACAATTTGAACTCGGGATCTAGTGACGATGAGCTTGGTATAACAACCCCGCCGCCATCAGTAAACGAAGTAATACAATATACAATACCAAGTGATTTTTAAAAAATAAAAAACGTGTTCATATTTTGTTGCCGTTTGTGGGTTTAATATTTGTGTTAGCGTCATGGCGCTCACTTGCGTTCTCCTGTCATATGTACACATAGTAATCAACATTCAATATGGTTTACTTAACCCGAACACAGGTACTTCTGAGGATCGTCACATGTCGTATCATCTAATTTCCATTCACCATAACGGTACCTGGAAATAAAAACTCGCATATTACAATTGATGAAATATATCTGGGACAGTGTCTAATGTGACACAACGTTATTTGCTTCAACATTTGCAAGGCGCCAGAATCTACACATGTATAACTGAACAACACACTTGCAATTGGACTCACCACAACTGGATGCAAGCACCACTCCCATTTGGTTCTTTTCGATGAAACAACGACGAATCAACAGCCATTCTTGTACCATCACTGAATGTTATTGTACTGCCAGAAATAGTGCCATCAATCCAGAAATCGACATACTCTCCGTTCGCGATAAGCTCATTCACTGCGAAATCCAAACTTGCTTGATTGTACACTCTGTACGGCGAGGCACAGTGAATATTTTCCGGAATTGACTCTTCCGTGCTGATAACGATACCAGCTGTAAAGGGAAAAAAATACGTCTGCATTCGATCAAGCCATTCCTCAACATAATGAGATAAATCATGGAATAAACACTGTAGGTTAGGCACAGTGAATATTTCGTGGAATATTTTTGGTTCATACTGAACCCATAACCAGAAATTTCTTTTTCACAATAGTCTAAATGCAAGAATACCAAAATCTGCATTTAATGTGCATGTGCATGTGCT